ACAGAGTGCGCCTTGGGGCGGCGGTGCGGGGTCGGGGTGGGGGTGGGGACCTCTTCTCCAAAGATGTCAGCGCGCTGGAGAGGTGCATGGGACCACTAACCTTGTGCCTGTAATTTCAGTTGCAATGTGCTAGCCCCTTTCTGGGCTCAAGGGGGCTGCTCCTTCTAACCGGCCAGCCTCTTTTCCTCCGAAGGGCTGGGCAGCCGAGCTGCCAAGCTTTGAAAACTTCCACAAAGTCCTTCCCGTTTCAAGGGATCACCTTACCCAAGGCTGTTAACACTGTCACTGCCAGCTGCTGCCTGCCAGCCCGCACACGGGGGCTGATCCATCCTGGATGTCACAGCAGCTAGGACCAAGGGGAGGAACAGTTTTTGGACCCACTTTCGTCATTTTTTCCCCCAATTCGAGCAGCTTAAAGTTGCTTAGTAAGAAACATGCCAAGGGGTCATGCTTATTTTTAAACTTTTACGAGGATGTTCTGAGAAGGTCAAACATATTAATGATAGCTGTGGTTCAAAGATAAGGTAGCCTCTTGTAAAATACTGGTCTTAAAAGTGATAATCACTCCTTGAATGTTGAGACGAGAGAGGCTTCAGTAATCTTTGGCTCGGTTTCTTCCAATTAAAAAAGAAAAGAAAAGTGGGGTGTGCGTGCACATACTTTGAAAATTGGAGCACAGGAAGATCTTTTTGAAAAGGCAAAAGGAATGATCCCAGATCTCCTTTGCTAGTTCCTGTAGTCATTCCACACCCCTTAAATGATGCTAAAGCTCCATTTTTTAATTCATCAATGATGTGTTCATGTGAAGTTGCAAAGCAGTCCAATTGAACAGGTAGGTGATGACATTGCAGAACAGCAGGGTGGCCCCCTGTGTGTGTCAGCACTATTCTAAACACTTTACCTGCACTTGCCTGCTTGACCCTTTTACTGACTTGAGGACACCACTACTACAGTTTACCTTAACCGCCCAGATGAGGATGCTGGGATGGACGGGAGGCAGGTCATCCGACCGACCAGTGTCATCAGATGGAAGCCGGGAGGTCTGTGCTCTTAACTACTGTGCCGTGGAGTGAGCAGGCTTTCAGAGAAGAGAGGGTTTGAGGACACCTGACCTCATCGGGGATGTCAAGGATGGCAAGAAGTCAAGAGATAATGACCCAGATTGACCAATCAGCATGCCTTGCAGATGAGGCAGCTGTGCCCAGAGAGATCAAGAGATTCTCTCAAGTTGCCTGGTGAGTGAGGGTAAAGCTGCAACTAGAAACTGGATCTTCTTTCTTTCTTTCCCCCTCCTTCTTTCTTCCTCCTCCCCCTCCTCTCCCTCCTCCTCCTTTCCCTCCTTCTCCACCACCTCCTCCTTCTTTCCTCCTCCATCACCATAACCTCCTCCTTCTGGTATCTTCTGGCTGGGTGTGTGGTCCACACCTGTAATCATTACTTTACTGGGAAAGCAGAGGCAGGAGGATTATGATTTTGAGGTCACCCTGGGCTGTATTGTGAGAATCTGTCCCCCACCCCCAAATTCAAATCAATTTCCCTTTCTTTTCCTTTTGTTCCCTATCCCCTTTCTGTCTATCTGTCTATTAAATCCTCTTACGTTTAAGCATAGGGATAACAATTCTTTGTGTGGGGGGGTGTCGAGCAGGGGATTGAACCTAGGGACTCATACTTGCTAGCAAGGACTTTACCACTGATCTAAATACCCTGCCTGACAATAATTCTTTATCACAGGAAATCACTTAGACACAGCTCCTGGGGAAATCTTAAGAGGGAATCAAGAAGCCTTCAGGCATTTGTCTTTCTTGTGTTCTTCCATGTCAGTTCAAAAAAAATCAAACGTGTGTGAAGCTCAGAATGAAGGAGATGTCTGGAAGAAGCACAGGTGGTAGTCTTCTTTTCTGGTCTCAGGCTGTAACGTCTCAGGACATTCCCACACATGTCCACTTCAGAGAACTCTTTTTCCAAAGCCCACTTTGAGCTCCAACAGCATCCCATCCCATTCAGCTTTGCCGTGTCTGCCCACGAGGGCAGTCTGAAGCGCTCTGCTGATTCTTCACCCTCCTTTCGACTCGGCTCCTCTGTGAATGGTCCTGCAGTCCCCTTGCCTTCTAGAAAGCACACGCCAACGCTAGCACTTCTGTAGCAGAGTTTCACAGGTTCCTTCCTTCTCTGATTCTTAAACACGTTCTATCTCCCTGACATACCTTCACCTGCACCTACATGCACACACGGTCTTGTACAAGAAACATGTATATGTAAATATGGACTATGTAAAACAATAACAGAAATGCTACAGATAACTTGATGTGTGCCAGACACCAGTGAGAAAACTTTAAGCCACTCTAGGTGGGAGGTGATATAACGTTTCCAGAGCTATAAAACGTATGACTTGAACCCGAGTTTTCATGTTACAAAATCCTGTATGTTCCATGAGTCTATTCATGTGTCTTTACTGTATAAGTCCGTACACTTTTACATACAAAGTCCACTGCATGTATCCATCAGCAGATTTTGGGAGCAACCTGAGAAAATCAGAATAAAGGAAACGGGGTGCTTTGACTCTCACCTTCTTCAGCGTACCCCATTTCACAGCCCCTCCCTGTTTCTGCACAGTCAGGGGTCTCAAAATTTCTTTGGAATCCACCATCCCTGAGACAATTCAATCACATCCACTGGGTTCTAAGAAGGCAGGGCAGACCAGTGAGTTACCCTTTTCTAGTGCGGTTGGCAGTTGGAAATTCATAGCCACAGAGTGAGGATGGTAGGTTTTGGGGCACTGGCACAGGACAGAGAAAGTTTACACTGACTGGGAGCGGGTGGTGGAGGTGGGATGGGGGTGGAGGGGCTCTCAAATCACACCTGTAGGTGGTCCCTAACACCCCCCACAGAGACTGTAGCCTCAAAAAGACCTTTTCTTTTGAAGTGTTGGAAGACAGGATGGATTTAGATGGGGATTTTATTCTGGCTTTCCCAAGCACTACCTTGGCATCAAATCAGACAACTAGCTAGTTCCTAAAAAACAAACAAAAAGGTGAACTCTGCCTCCTTCCCAGACTCCAGCCCCCCTACACCACACTCACACCATCAGCACGCCTCACAAGGCGATTCCAGGCTATCCACTTGTTTAATATCTGCACAGTGCTTATGAGTTTATGCTGCGTGTATTTACATGTCAATGCATGCTCAAAGTAGGCAGATCTGATCGTTTGGTTCCCCTACTCAACATCCTTCCTACAGGCCTTAGGCTGAAATCCAAGTCTTTCTTCTGGCCCGTAAGACCGTGTAGGATCTGGCTTATCTGCCTGAGCTTGTGTGAACATATCCTGTCTGTATTCCAGAGGAACTGCCATTCTCCCTTAACACTCACTCTCTCTGTCTCTCTGTCTCTCTGTCTCTCTGTCTCTCTGTCTCTCTGTCTCTCTCTCTCTCTCTCTCTCTCTGTCCCTGTTTCTGTCTCTCTGTCTGTCCGTCTCTCCTTTTCTCTCTCTCCCTATATTTCACATTCTCTGTGACTTTGAGCTTTAACTAAGTGCCCCTTCTTCTTCTGGGAAGTGATCTTGATTTCTGTGAGTGATGGATTTGTCATCCTATCTTCTTTTTCATAAAGGATTTCATATTGCAGCCTAGTACTTTAATCATCCACTCATGTCCAATGCTCCCAAACGGAGCAGAAGGGAAGGAAGCATTTGCTTGTCCAAGTATGAGACTGGTATGTAGTTGATGCTCAATAAATGTATGAGAATGAACTTGTGACTGGGAGAATGAATGCATGAGAGAATGAATGAATGATGCTTTTAAAATGTTGTGTTTGGAAATCAGGCATAGTGCCCTGTGCTTGTAATCCCAGCCCTTGAGGGGCTGAAGCAGTGGATTGTGAGTTCAAGGCCAACTTGAAACACTGTAACAAAAAAAATCATATTTAGGCCATTGTACATCAAACCTGTATTGTATCAGACACATATTTGGAGTCAAAATTGAATGCTCTAAGCCTACCTTTTACTTGAACTAAGAATTTGCACCAGATTCAGGTGGGTGCCACTTAGTGTCTTGTCTCAAGATCTTGCCATATACATACTTCTTCCTAGAACTTTCCAGATGTTCTCTGATGGTTCCATGTGGGTCACCTTTGGGAACCTGATCACACTCATAGAGTCCTGATCCAGAAGTGGAAGTCTTCTTAGGTGATGGTAGCTAATGAAGAAAGCTCTCATCTCTCTTCTCCTTTTACTGATCAAGGGTGATGTTCCTGGGATGAGCCCTGTGATCTGATCACTGTTCATCGACAGGGGGCTCCATACAAAATGCCTGTCTCTAACT